CCTTCCTCCTCCTATTTTCCCCACAACAACAACCCTGTGAGGTGAGTTGGGCTGAGAGAAAATGACTGGCCCAAAGTCACCCAGCCAGCTTTCAAGCCTAAGGTGGGACTAGAACTCAGAGTCTCCTGCTTTCTAGCCTGATGCCTTAACCACTAGACCAAATTGGCTCTTATTTTATCTCTTATACACATGATACAAGGCTTCTGTTAATGCAATGGTCTTTTTTGCTGTTATATTACATTACTTGTTCATATTCAGCTAGGAATCCACTGGTGCTAGATTTTTCTTACACAGAGTAAAGTTAAGCAGAACTAGTAGTTGTCTGGCCAATTCAATCTGGCAAGACTGGCACACTCTGGGTTCCTTTGACTAAACAAGGCCATCTATCGGGACCCCAGAAGTGCGCCTTCTCTATAGCAGCAACTGCCCTATGGAATGAGGTTCTTCCCAAAATCTGGATGGCTCCACCCTACTGGATGGCTCCCACCTTCACCCAGGCCTTTGACTAGAGTAAGTGAAGCCCCCTTTGGTTTGTGTGGATTTGTTTTTCTTTTGTGCCTGTCTGGTTTTTGTCATCCTTGCCATCTTTTATTCTTTTATTTTTACCTATTATTGTATTTTTTCTTATTTTTAATATTTTTACTCTTGAACCACCCAGAGTCATTGGTAGACATACAAATTAAATAATAATAACTCCCAAATCTGGTACCAATGCATTTGATTTTTCTCATTTGGATGTAGGACCTATGTTTCACACAGCTGAAATCATCTTACCACATTGGCCCAATGTTCAGGCCTGTTATATGAATTTATGATGTTATGCTCCAAGGCATTGGTTCTCAAACCACAACCTTGTAAATAATAAATGAATTTGTGTGCCCCAAATAAAACTAAACAATAACATTTCTGTGATTCTGAAAGATGGTTAGGCCCACATGTCTCAAAATTCATTCTAAGCTTTGCTCCCTGCCTTGCCTGTACAAGCCCACAATGGGCTTGCCCAAAGAAAGCAGGAGTAAGTTCTGACATGCTCCAGCTTTATCTCTGCAACCCTTAACAGGTTTTTTTAAAGCTGTGATTCCCCCCCCCCCCGCTTGTGGTCCCTTGTGGGGGTCATGACTCATGGTTTCAAAACTCCCACTTTAAGAGTCAATCTCTATAGCTTGATATCATGTGCAAATCTGGTTACCATTACTTCCATTTCTGCTTCTATATAATTTATAAACAGTACAAGTGTAAGCACCTTGTTAATTGCATCCAGGACAATGGAGAAACATTTAGGAGCTCCTTTTTGGTGAGGTTGTTCAACCAACTGTGAATCCACCAGACTGCAGTATCATTCTAGACCACATTTGTTCATCCTCTCCACAAAAATATCAGGAGAGATCTTGTCAATTACTGAAATCAAGGTACACTATACTACTTTGGATTCCTGCACTGGGCAGGGTGTTAGACCAGATGATCTCCAAGGACCTTCACAATCCTCACATTCTATGATTCTACATCTAGAGCATTCCTTTCATAAAAGAGGTACAGCTGTCTAGCACTTGAGGAACCCCACTGGAAGAATGTCACATTTTCATCCTTAAGCACATATTACATTCCAAAGAAACTATAATTTATTGCATTTTCAGCAACTTTCAATAAGACAAATGGGAAGGATTTTTAACTACAAGTGCTTCAATAGAATTTTGAGACTACTCTGCAATGAATGAGATATATTTCCAAATAGAGACTATGCTGTTAAATATAAACATTATTGTATTTAAATAAAAAACTTTCAAAATATCTTCTATTAATCCCCCTTCCAAATTAGGCGACTTAATTCCTTAGGCATTCAGTTTTAACTACATTGCCTTTAACTTGATCTTCGGAGAACTCTGTTATGAAACAAGAAGCATTATCTATCTTTCTGGATATTGTAAAGTAACCATCAGGAGCTAGATCATTTTCCGGTTTTTGAGACACATCCAGCCTCCAATACCTGTCACCCAGCCATGAATTACAAAATTCTGGTACAATATATGTGAACTAAGCTGAGCCATGGCCTCTGGGTTGAAACTGATATACTCTGTAGCAACCACCAGAAATTCAGAATATGCTGAATACTGCCAGGAACCACTCAGCTCGTCGGCTGGTTTACTTGTGTGTATCACAACCCGCAGGCTACACGCAAGTCCAGTACAGTACTACAGAGTCCATCTGCAGCTACTGCGTGAAGCAGTTCCCTATTTGTTAGCTTTGCTGCACGCCTCGTTTAAAGCACACAGCGAAGAAGCCAGCCGGGCAAGGACGGCATCTGGGCTCCGATTGTTGCATGCCCTTTACAAAACACATCTTTTTACAGAGGCAGCCTTTCCTCTCTCGAGAATTCAAGACTCTCCAACTTCAGAAGTTTGCTCTGGCAATTCTGCTTCGACGGGGCAGCTGGTCGTGCAAGCGCATCGATCCCCCAACCCATCAAAGGGCGTTGGAATCCGCCCCGCAGGAGGGACTATGTTCCCACGCGGAAGATTCAGGGGCACCCCCCGCCCCTTCCTGGACTATCTTACAGTCCGCAAAACGAGGACGGCGGGGGGGGGGACTGCATCTACAAAACATTGGGCAGCGCTGTTAACACTAACCTAGAACATAGTCCAAAGAAGGGACGCCGCTGGAAAGCAGGAGCTGACCATGTCGCACCGACGGTCGGGTTCCTGGCAGAACGGCCAAGCGCCCCCCTCCGCCATCCGGCACTTTCCTGTGGAAACTCGTCGTAGCCCTTTCCCTCCGCGCCAGTCCCTCGGTCGCCAAGTCCGCCATCTTAGTTTCTGCTCGGTTGACAGGAAAGAGACGAGCTCAGGGGAGGCGTGGCGTGGAGCACTCGCCGAGCCAATGGGAAGGGTGATTGTTGGCAGGCGGAGATGCTTCCTTTCGGGCAGGTGAAGGGAGAGGACTGTCTATTCCCCTGACTGTAGTCCGAGGTGAGTGGATATTTCTTTATAAATAGGGGATAAGGCGGTCAAAATACGCTTATGGGCCTTGCTAAGAGGGGTAAGCAGTGATTCGGCTTCGCTGGGGAGAACGTAGGGAAGGTCTTGGCTTACTTTTCGCGAAGGGGGATTTTGCTTCTTGGAGGAAGCATTCTTCCTCCCGTGTTTACGGCCAGGGACCCTTCTAGAGTTGTAACGGAGTGAACTTTCGGCCACACCTGCGAGTGAGCTAGAGCTGCTCCGTCCGGGTAGATGGAAGGGTTGTTGGGAGAACTTAATTGCAAAGCTGAATCGTACATGTACTTTACGTGAGAGTAAAGAAGCATGCACGGGACGGGGCTTAACGGCGGCAGTCGAAAGCGTAGTTACGTTGTATCGTTGGCATAAAGAGGACTAAAGCGCTGAAAAACTATTCTGTGCAAAATGAGAGTATTTAAGTCAGTTTAGAAGATATTAAGGGGCTAGGCTGCATTTAGTTTAGGTGCGTTGGATTGCAGACCGCAAAGTGAGATAACTATTACCGCTATTCTGCTGCGGCATTCTTGAATGATATTTTTGCTATTTTTACGTCGTACCGTTGCTACTAACAATTTCGGTTATTTCATACGGCAGCTAAACTTTTAATGAACTGGTAACGTGCGGTAGTCTGTTAGGTATATTGATACCCTTCTTTACCAAAAAGAGAATGAGCTGGTTTGTAGCACTACAGGGAGAAAAAAAGAATTTTATCTATCAAGTAAATCAGCGCAGCTTTGTACAAGACAAATAAAGAGGCCTTCTGTGTGCGTGTGAAAAATGTGCTACCTCTGAATTGAAGAGTTGATTCTGGCCTGTCACATTATAATCAGCTAATGAAGACAATGCTATAGTTAAAATGACTAA